AGTTTGAATTTAAATCGTTGTGTAAGCGATAATTTGATATTTTTAATGTTCAAAATACATATAATACCTGCGAACGTACTATGTTTTTAAATGGAAGTCAAAATTTTGAATCGTTATTTACTAAACTCATATTGAACGTGATATATATATATATATATATATATATATATATATATATATATATATATATATATATATATATATATATATATATATATATATATATATATATATATAGTACAACATGTAACATAATTAACGCACTTTGAGAAAGTAGTTTGTTCGGAATCGTTTACTGAATCGATTCCTATCATTTTTAATATAGGTAATTTTTTATCCCAAAAATAATTAAAACTACGTAAATTACAGTCACACTAAATCTGTACAGTCAAAACAAACTGAAATCGACCGTAACTTAAGGCAATAAGACTTTTAAGAGTGCAGTTCTATTTGTATTATTACTAATTCTGCCATTCAACAAAAATAAAAAAAATTGAACTTTATTTCAAGCACGTTAAAGTCATTGCGTTCGTGGATTTGTACTGTGACCACAACATTCTTCCGGAATTAGTATAATTAATTTGATAAATAATCAGTGCATAAAAATGTTTAACTAAACATTCAGTGTATGTATTATGATTATAACATAATATACTAATTGGGGTGTCTGAGGGTGTGCGTTAATTATGTTACATATTGTATATATATATATTGGATGATTTTTTTACCGACTGAAAATATAGGGAGTAACAGGTGAACGGAATAGGAGCCAATGGCACTACAAATTATTGGTTTTCAATATAAATACATTTAAGAAAAGTTGTAGGTACATTATTTTGCTCTTATTTTTACAAAGCACTATAACGAAAAGATTTCCTTAGTAAAAGGAAAGACTTTTTATAGAGAAATCACAAAAAAAAATTGACCTTGTTACGTTTTAGCATTCTGTTAGTATTGTGATATTTTTTGTCATAAAACTCGGTCGTGGCGCGTGTAGTTGAAAACTGTGGTTCACCCGCTGGGAAATTAAACCTGTCGTGAAACAGCGAGGTATCGTTAATTTGTTTTGACAGAGCAGACGGTACTAGAGCGTGCTCGTACTTCGCGATCCTCAGATGTTTTACGCGCTTCGAGTTCTAGCCACAAATGTGCGCGGCTATGTGGCTATACTAACTGTATACAAATTGCTTTTAACTTATTTATAAATGATTAACATAGCATAAAAATATATAATATTTATTATAATAATAAATACAAATAAAAACTTAAACCTTAAGGGGAAATATTAAAAATACTACCTCAAATGGCTTAGCAAGATCCTCCGTTATGCCGAAAATACTGCAGCATTAATTTTGAAATAAATATAAGTATGGTAAAGTTAAGGATTAATGTTAAGGGCTATGTTATAACGCAGGGGCTTATTTTTATTTTTTTAATTACCATTATTTTCACTGTAAAAAGAAATTACCTAAGTGGTAAATTAGGAAGTGGAGGCGAAATTAGAATTTGAGCTGACTTACTATATCCCCTTAAACTCAAATTATCATATACTTCTATTTCTCGCGTTGTAGCCTTTGCCTCCACGGACCGATAGCCTCTACAGCAGAGTCACTGCATTTGTAAATATCATAATCATCATTAACCCTTTCACAAGTACACTGCAGAAAATAAGTCTCTCCCAAGGAATGACATAACCACAACGCACGGTCCTAAACTAGTTAGGGAGCAACTAGTGGGGGGCCAGCCTACACTTCGCCCTAAACCTCTCTTCGTGCTATATGGCCGGTCCATTGCAACATCAGCTTACTAATCCGTTGGGCTATGTCAGTTACTCTGGTCTAACTGTGGACATCCCTATTTTTTATCACGCAGAGAAACCCCGAGCATAGCCCTCTCCATAGCTCATCATTATATATGTATATATCGTAAATGTTCACTGCTAAACATCTGCGATCTTCTGCCCTCCGCCTGGCAAGTGTGACAATGAAGGCAAATCCTCTAGATAAGTAAAGAAGCCAAGTCGTTATTAATATCTAGACATACAGCCGTGTAACATCCAAGTACGGAATAGAAAAGGTTGACGCTCAGACATTTTGCCTAATAAGTTTCCCTGGAGTACATAAAGCCTTTAATTTTTAAATAGATCTATTATACTTCTTGAGTTATCAAGGTTTGAAAAATGCCATTTTATCAATCACTGATTCACTGACTCACTTTTAATAAACATAGACCACTTCTACCAAAAATCTTAGTTTCATAGTAGTTCCGAGAACGTTGTACATTCCTATAAATCCTTTGATTTAAGCAAATGTTATGGAGCTTGGCACCCGTTCAAATTTCAACTGTTTAATCAGTAAAGCTGAGACCCCTAAAGTTATTTGTACCGAACTTGTCCCCATTTTCACATTTATCATTTTTGTGAGATAATTATTACATTAAGTATTTGGATAATGTTTGACCATTCTTAATTGTGTTCATTTTATAACAAACAAAAATATATTTATAACTTTCTCTTACGTAAACGCAAGTCGAATATTTGCTCTCCAGAGTATTTCTAACTTAGAGTACATACTTGGGCTTGTGGCTTGTATACTGGCTCGAGGTTGGACGCTTGGAAATGTTTAGAATACATTTACTAAATATTTCACAGCGGTGAAGTTTTAGTATTATAGTATGTCGTATGCGTTCATTGGTGGTAAATTTATTGTTATATTTATTGCCATAATTGCTAATTAGTAAAGTATACAGACGAAAATTTTCTTTTTGTTAAAAGTATTTTCCCTTTTGAGTGGATATTCTTTCTATGAGGGTCTCTATATCTTCTAAACAATTACTTTAAAAACTTTATCCCTTAATTTGCCATCATTAAGGGTGGAATTTTTCGTCCAAATTTTCGTGGGCCTAGCCCTAAATCGATTAATAAAAAAATCTTTAAAATCAGGTTACATTTGACAAAGATATCGCATAACATATACACAAGTAAAATATGAAGTGTAATAGTAAACCGCCTTCTTTTTTGAAGTCTACTAAATATTTACCGGTGTCGAGCAGTTTTAAGAGGCTTTTTTAACATAAGTTTCCTAAACTAAGTAATTCTGGTTTTTGACAAACACCAAGGCTTGTGCAGGCCTTGTACTGGCAAGCGCAAGGTTAGGTTACCTCTTACTAGATGGAGTGAGCACCTGATGAAACATACAGAGAGTCGATGAATGCAGGTGACTCAGGTTCATACTTTGTGACAATCTATGGAAGGTTGTATCAACAACATTTGGACGTACCTGGGTACAGAAGAACAGGACACTGTGCAAGAACGATTTGCACCTACACAAAAGTAAAATGCTACTTGAGAATTCCCATAACAAAGTAATAATTGGACACACTTGGAGGTCCACCATTATGTGATTTCTCTGATGTTTTCTTCCTCACAAAACTTCTTTGTGGAATCCGCGATTTTTCCGGACCGTTACGATGTAGGGATATATACCTATATATATATATATATATATATATATATATATATATATATATTATCGCACGAACTTATTCGTACTTTTAATTGTAATCCTACCTTTTTATGACAATCTCGAGAGACCAGCCTGGCGCAGTGACGCGGGTATCTAACGAGCAAAACTCGCCCTTGCCGTCTATTATTTATGACTATAAAATATGGCGCAATGTTTCAAAATCGTTTCATATACGAAGAGTAGGACGTTGCTCGACTAGGATACTTATGTTTTAGCAATATAGCGCATTGCGAGACTTAATATCTGAGCATTGATATTATCCCGACAGGAGTGGACTAAACTGGATTTGCTTTTGACAAATTAAGTTTTTACTTTATCTTCCTCTAAGTTGCATATAATAAACAGTTTTTAGCAGTTTGGTTTAATGCGAAGGGTTGATTATGTGCGCGAATAAAAAAGCTATCGACGTATCAATTTGCTTAATTATAAACTAGAAGTTTCTTGTCCAGATAAATCGCAATCATCTAGTCATATCGGGATTGGGCAATGTATTATTTTATTATTGCTAGTATTATGTATTATTATTTAGATTGCCGTTCCATCGGACTATGACTGTGAAGATAGAGAGTGATATAGTATTTACACATACTTTATCGTGCGCTATAATCCTGTTCTACTCAGATTAGTCTCCACTAAGACTTGCTGCCTTGGTCGAAATTCGGTTTGGGACACATTTAATGGCTTATTAGGTATATGTAATTGTTTGCTAATTTTGTTTTTAATCTCACTAAAAGAGAAGATAGCAAGTAATATTTTTATAACGGCAAGCGTTTTCTTCGGCTTTTGTTCTTTAACAGCCTTTTGTTCCCGCTTCTAAATAAAGACCATATTAACAGCGCACCAATTATAATAATATATATAAATATATATTTATTAAACTATAATTATATATTATATAAATATTAATAATATATAATTATAGTTTAGTGTGTTAATAGTTGTATTTGACCTATATCTCTTTTTTCTTTTTTTTTTATAATATAAGGGTGACAAACTAGCACACAGTCCACCTGATGTTGAGTGGATGCCGTAGCCAATAGATATCTAAAGTTATCTTTAATTAAAAGTCAAAATGAAGGTGCGTTGCCAGCCCTGAAGACTGGGATGGAATGCCTCGTTTCCAGTAAAAAATGTCTCCGGTTCTCTACACTCATCGTACGAAAAGGAGGTAATCTGTGTACGAAACACAGCACCTGCACTCACCATGCGAAACACAGCACCTTTAAGCTGCTATTTTACGCTGTTATTCTGTGAGAGCGTGGTCCTACCTCGGTCGAGCCGACCCATTCGTGCTGCAAACACAATATAGCTGCAGCATGGCTCTACCACGTAAAAACTTATCTAACTTATCTTTATTTCTCTATAAGAAAAATTCGTTCTCTACAACGTTTGAAATAAAGAATGATATTGAATTAAAAAGCGACAAATTTCGTACGTAATGGACTTTTGTTTATAACGATTTTATCAATTTCCCAGGTCTTAAATATTTGCACTCGGCACGCATCTTGCACCGCGACATCAAGCCGGGCAATCTCCTCGTGAACAGCAACTGTGTGCTCAAGATCTGTGACTTCGGGCTGGCGCGTGTCGAGGAACCTGACTCCACTAAAAACATGACTCAGGAGGTCGTCACACAGTACTACAGGTAAATGTAGACTCAAGTTATTTCGTTGAAGGGTTTCGTATTGCCCGTTTTAGATTTATGTATATCTAGCCGTTTTTTCAGGGCCTATATCGCTTATATGAATATTTTTATTTGACAAATGATCACATGATCCATGAAATAGATGCTGTGGCCCATATACATTTACATCTCCTCGATTAAGAATCAAAATGCCGATGCGTTGTTACCTCTGAAGATCAAGATGGAATGCCTCGTTTCCGGTAAAAATGGTATCCGGTTCTCTACACTCACGATACGAAACAGAAGCATTGAGCTGCTATTTTACGCTGGTAGTCTCTGAGAGTGTGGTCCTTCCTCGGTCGAACCGACCCATTCGTGCTACTTGGCTACAACCATAATATAGCTGCGGCGTGGCTCTACTACGTAAAAATATTAAATGAAAAGTTCAAAAGATATTTCTTATAGAAGAAACGTGAAACAACCCAGAGTCACGGCTGTGAATAAAAAACTCTCTGTTTATCAGTTTTCTTACAGATTTCGAACTTGTAGAAAAAAGTTTAATATCTTATACAGATGAAAGTTTATTAAATTCTATTGCGCTACGTAGGAAAGAATTTCTTCTATAATTTTTAGAAGCAAGAGGTATATATCGTATAATATATATATATATATATATATATATATATATATATATATATATATATATATATATATATATATATTCGTATATAGCGAAGGTCGCCGTCTAAATCTCATTAAATTGGTACGAATCATTAGGAGAGCAAGGAGCTCAGGACGATCAATAGATCATCATATCAATTAGGAAACAAATATTGACTTTACGTTCTATACTCCAACGCCTAAAAATTTCTCTTACATGTTTAAAAATAATTGGCTGTTTTAAAAGTTGAGGTAACTCAGAAATTTTCTCTGTTATTGATTAACGTTCCATAATATCGTAGAAATGAGATTTGTGCTTAATGGAAAAATAATTTCTTGAAAAAATAACCAACAAATCTTATCTATAAATATTATAGTACTTAACTTATTAAAAATATTGGAGTTTACATATCCGTGACACATAAAATTATTTGAATTATATTATTAAAATTATATTCATTAAATTATTTAAATTATTATTTTTCTGCGAGAATTTGAGAGTACATTAGTAATGTATTACGATTTTCTTTATTATTTGTACAATATGGCCCTCGCTTATTTAAGTTTCACGTCGTTCATCGTCACATCAAATACGGTACGATGCGACGCGACGCGGTGTTGTACTGCATGGTAATACGTAGTGATATCGAATGTATAATAACGCTTCTAGTGCTGGATCTTCTGCCTAAACCTCTTAAGTCTATTTTAGCTTCTGGCGCTAAAAGGGTCGATTGCGCGTAAGGTTTATTTTTATTTTTATAGAAACGAATTAGTTAATTAATGTTTTAACAATGTTATAAACATTACTAATATTCCCCTTAACCACTCGTGGTAAGCTTGAATTGTTTGTGTTACGAGTTGTCCATGCCAGTTGTCGAATGGTGGATTCGAACCCACGACCTTTTTGAGTTCGCGGTCCGCGCCCTGCCATTAGGCTACTGTCGCTAGTAGTAGTAGTAGATTAAACAAAATATTGTATTTAAGACACCATTTTGACGCGCGACAATTTATACTTCTTAGAATAGTTTATGTTCGGGGAAGAAATGAGCATACATCCTACCCCTGCTAAATAAATTCTTAATCGAATGGGTTTTTTATATTAACCGAGAAAAAAAAACCATAATTTTGCCGCATAATTATCGCTAACAAATTATATTTTCTTGATATACGGGTTTTAGTTTTTTTTAGCAATAACCATATTGAATTAGATTTTTTATCGGCAACATTTTTATTTAGATGCTTTATTTCTTGATAATAAGCAAAAACATTTAAAATAAAGTAACCTTTTGTCCACCGAATTTCGCATGCTTACAACGTGCTGCACAAATATGCATGCAACGGAGAAGGGAAAAAGGGGGCTTAAAGCCTGTTAACATAAGAAATCCTCGCCTTTAATTACACCGCCCGGCTTGACGACACCCGGTGCAGCGAACTTATTGCTACGCAGCAGCGTAGCAGTAAGTTTTCGATTCAAACGCACCGTTTGGCTGGGTGGGTGCACTCTTAACATCTGGTTGCGCGGAAAAAGAGAAACGGGTACTCTCACATTTTGTTCGGTTGGCTATTTTTTTGCTAGTGTCTTTCCGTTCTACCCATGCAGTCCATTCCTCACGCACTAATGGGGGGGGGGGTCTAGAATGGGCAACAATCTCCTAAACGTAAAATACGATCGATTCACGATAAAAATAACTTTTATTTGTTTGGCCTTCTCGTGATTAATGGGTCCAATTTTTTGAATTTTGGGTTAATTCCACCGAAAATAAAAACAAAGTATATGTATATTGTTTTCGTCATGTTAAATACAATATGTGGAGAGAAAATAGAATAGAATACATTCTCTTGAATAATAATTCTTGAGGCGATTGATAAAAAATCCTAATTTCTATAGCGAAAATGGTTTTGTGCTAAAACTGTTTTGAGATGCAGTTACAGATCAAGTTAATTCCAAAGACAACCGTGTACCACTCGGACCTCAGATCGGAAAACAAAATGAAAATTGAAAAATGAAGATATCCCGTGTTAATTATGACATCAGGAAATGTACACAGCAGTTCGTGACCATGCCTAATGCAAAGCGCATGAATCGTTGAAAATTTTAAATAAATTAATGTGATAACGTCACGCTTGATTCCCGAGAAGGTAGGCGGAGTCAAAGAGCAGTGACTTACTCTCACAACGTTTAGCCAAAAAATATAAGCTTACACACTAACAATAGTAAAGATTAATCCAGTATCCCACTTACTAGTCGCCCTTTATTGCATGCAAGGCAAGTAACACGGTTGGCACTTGGCACATTCTATATTGTTATACGTCCCACATAAACATGTATCTATAAGTCCCAGACCAACATGAGACTTGGGACAATTTGGCAATAAGTTTCATTCAATGCCCGACATGAAAATCAGACCTTCAGCTTCATCGTAGTCGGATTTATTCATACATTTATTAAAAAAAAAATTGTCCAAAATTATTTGTCTAAAGTAAAGTAAAGTAAAAGTTACAGCCTATATACGTCCCATTGCTGGGCACAGGCCTCCCCTCATTTCAGAGAGGGTTTTAGGGCGAGGAAGTATCCACCGCGCTGCCCCAATGCGTGTTGGCGAACTTCACATGTCTTCGATATATTTTTTTCTCTTATTTCTCAGACATGCAGGTTTCCTCACGATGTTTTCCTTTACCGCCGAGCACGTGATACATCAGCACTTAAAATTGCAATTAATAATTTCATTGGTGCCGGCGGGGATCGAACCCGGTTTGCTCGCGTACTGTGAAATTTACAGCGAGCGCTAACCATCTGAGCTACCACGTCTCATTTGTCTAAAAATTGCTCCTTTTTTGTTTCTTATATATAAATATATAAAATTTAGGCATCCAATGTTTCTTAGTTTTAAAACGCTATTAGAGCATAAAATTCGAGTTATAAAAATATGTTCATAAATTCGTAATTCAAAGGAAATAATTTGCCGGCTTCGTTTCGTCCGATTACAGTTTGGATGTATTCAAGAGTGAATAGACTTTTGTTACGTTCAGACCATCTTTACTATCACTCACCACCACATATCACCAGTTGGGATTGTAATCAAGCACTGGCGTGTAATAAGTAAATAATAACGGTTTCCACTTTGTATTATGTTAATACTCAATTACTCTCAAATACTCAATAATATTGCGCATATGAATATTTCGCTTGAGAGGAAAGCAATCTTATCAAGCTTTCTTAAATGGACATTGGGGTTGATTGCAGTGTATTCGATTCTCTAAAGTGTTTTCTTTTGTTTCTGCACACTAAAGTGCCTACGGGATATACGTTATACGGACTTTTAAAATAAATTGTTTTAATATTTGCATTTCATGTCAATTGTTACATTAATATGGCGTACAAGTGTTTTGAAAGAGTTCTTGAATCATGCAATCCATGAGCAAATCTATATATTAAGTATGTCTCTTACACAATTATGTATGTGTATTTATATTTATTAGTAATAATATTTTGTATACTGTATAATAATAACACTGGTGTGGCGCGACGACCTATTAATATATAACCCCATAGCCCTCTCTGGAAAGAGCTCTGTGACCAGGTCGTGTATGGGCTACTTACTTTTAACTTTTACTTTTTACACGACTTCCCCGTAATGTTTTTCGAGAGTATGTATGGATGTATATTTCTTTGGCACGCTCTCTAGCCTAAACGGCTTGATGAGTGTAACATATGAGGTGTCGTTACTTTCTTCTTTATTGTGTGAGTGACATAGACTATAATATTTATCATCTGCGGATACAAAAAAGGGAAGGAAAGTTTAAAAAAATACAAGAATATTGGTATCAAATAAAAGCTAGTAAAAGTGCGAAATTTACAGAAAGGACAATAGTGTGACTACATCTAAAACTTTTCTCTTTCAGTAAACTTATTTGTTTACTTTTATATAATTGTAAGAGAAGAAAATGTTAAATAAAATCATCAAAGATAAGTCACAATTATAAAATTATAATAGTACAATATGATGTAAACAGTCGCAACAAAACGCATTACTGTTGATTGACAGACTTTGTAGCGGTTGATATTTTTTTTGTCGTAGGGGTGAGTGTGCTGGTTTGAGCACATAGTCCACCTGGTGATATTTATTTATCTATCGTCGATTAAAAATCTTCGCTAAGGACTAAGATGTAAAGTGGTCTGTGTTAAAATGAAAGTAAATTTTTTGAAAACATAAATATGGTTTACAAACGGTTCTCTTCATTCACCATGAATTTTTATATTTCATTAAAAGAGCTTTACTTTTAGTGTATCATGTGTATTAGATTTGAAGACGTTGTCTATAAGATTTTTGTAATATCCCTTAGTCAAGTTTTACGATACT